ATGCTTCCATCTTTGATCCTTAGGATTAAAAATAAAATTAAAATTAAAAAAAAAAAAATCAAGTGAAAAAAATAAGTGCACCTAGAACAATAAAGCTTTAATAAAAGGTCCACTCTTTGTCTTGATGATCAGTACTAGATTTGTGTACTAGTTTGATGGTAAGGATGTGATCATTTTTTTAGTTGGCTTAGATAGCAACGCACTTGATGCCGGTCCACTCAAAAAGGATTCTAGTGTTGTTTTGATTTGCATGATCATTTTCTTGATGTGTGGAGGACCATACTTGCTTGTTTGATACTAAAATTTTGGGAGACTACTTGGAAATAGTTGAAAAATTGTATACTTGAGGTAGTTTTCTCCCAATACTTGTTTGCAATATTGGTGCCTCTTTAGTGAGAAAGAGCTTAATGTTTGTGGGTACCATTTTTGGAAACCCTCACAAGACTTCACTCGTCCACTAGGGGTAACTTAGGGGTTTAAAAGGCTTGTTGCATGTGCTAAATGCAATCGTGTTCCCTACGAAAGTGGCGTTATCCATTTATTACTTTCTAGATTCATAATTGTATAGTTGTTCATTTCATTCCTTTACTTTGTAGTTCATTGTTAAGGACTAGCAATATTTAAGTTTGGAGGTGTGATGAGCGCTGAAAAGTGTGCATTTAAACCCCTTAAACTTAGGTATTCTAGGACCTTTATCTATCTTACTTTCCCGTTTAAAACTAATTTCGTGTTATTGCCCTTTTTAGGTGTTTATCCCCAAAATAAGCTAATTCAGCCAAATAAGAGCTTAAAAGAAGCTAACTCAAGCTGGATGGAAGAAAGGAGCAAAGTGGAAGCAGATTGAAATAAAGTGTGGAAATTCAGCAGATTCGATCAATCGAAAGTTCATCGATCTAAACTCTCCAAGATGGATCCAATATCTTTTGTCCTTATCCAAAAATCCCACAAAGTTCGATTGATCCAACAATTCTCAGATCGATCGAAAAGATTCCATCTTATCCTGTTGTACCACCCTACCTACCACTTTTGTCTCATTCCCCAAAATATCTCAGATCTGTCCTTATCTAAAAAGGCGCCGCCATGGGAGGATCGATCCAACCAAAGTTTGATAGATCTCAGCCATGTTCGATCGATTACAGCACAGGTTCGATCGATCACCTCTCAGATCCAAAAAAAAAATATATCTCCAGTTCATTAAAAGTTGTCTCATTGTGCAATCATTGGAGAAGCCATTGTGTACGAGCCTAGAACATTGGGTGTGACATTTGAGCTACCTATATAAGGAATATGAGCCACTTTTACATATACGCATAGAGATAGATAGTTTTTTATAGTCTTAGATACAATTCTTAGTGAGGAAGAAAAAGAAGAGGCTATAGACATTCTTGAGAGTTTTTCCATCTTCCTCAAGAATAAAGCACTTCTACCATGGAAATAGCCCTTGAGGGTTGGAGGACACCATTCATGAGTGGCTAGACATCTTCTTGGCGCTAGAGTTAGCCCTAAGCATGCTTTCTTTACCTTGATTTATGTACTTTTAAGGGGATTTGTGTTGTAATACATGTTTTGACATATTTATATACATAGATCTTGTTTATTCAATGATTTGTGTGGTTTAATTCTTCCAATTGATCATTTCATTCTATCCATATGTCTATGCTATAATAGATGTTCATGTGTTTATCTCTATCTCTTGTGTTGTTGATGCATGTTTATGTGTGTTGATACTATAGATCTAGAGATTGTCAAGACACAGTGCTTAATAGAATGCTCTTGTGATTTATTTGATAGTTCATACTCATTTCTTGATAGATTGTGCCTCTCCCTTAGTTTAATTAGTTTAATTTCCATGTCATTAGCTTAGATGTAGTGTAACTACCTTAGTTGTTAAATGGGAGGATAATCTATGCTTGTTGTTTGATATTCCATACTTATGAATGCAAGTAGTTTATTTCTCTAATTATGTGATGTGTTTGGATTGTGAGCTTAAAGAATGATTAATGACTCAGTTTGATGTATTGTGCTATTCATTGTGTTGTTTAGACAATATATACTTAATTGATCATCCATACTTGTTAAAACAACCACACACACTCGCTATTGTTGTAACATATGTTTTCCCCCTCATTAATTGTGAATTGAGTGTATAGAAAAGTGATGCTTAATGGTGATCTCTAAATCCCAAGACCTCTCTCTCTTGTTTTCTTCATCCTTTAATTACTCTTTTTGTATTGATCTTGTTTAATCTTAATTGTAGTTTAATCAACCAAACAACCTATCTTTGATCGCTCGACCTACTAACCCTAAGCATTGTTCCATTACTAGTAGCCCTTCAATCCCTTGGGACAATCCCTACTCACCCTTGCTATATTTTTAGTTAGTAGTAGTAGTAACATTTATAAATGTAAAACTTAGTTACATTACACATTCATTATTTTTTTGCACGTCTTTAGACGTTAGTGTGACGACACACCAGCTATAACCCAAAAAGAAGAAATAGAACCTAATGGTGAGACAAATGTACTCATGTTGGTCCTGACACTTGTCTGCTACAACTAGATGAATTGACACCACAAAATAGATGAAATAGGTAGCACAAAACAAACAAGGTAGTGTTTCTAGCGTGAAATTTTAAATTGTTACCTATAAAATTTTGAATAATGTCATAAATGCTCCCACAACTTTTATCTTTTTCCCCATTGCTTTTTTCCTTCTCTCACTCACGCCCATGCACATGAACAGTAGCCAAGAATTCCATTATCTCTACTCTCTATCTTGACTATCCCTTCCCTCATCTTCCACTGCTTTCTCTATGAATAACTAAAGAAATAATTTTCTTTCTATTCATTTTATTGGCAATCTATCTCTTCATGGAAGAAGTGTAAGTCCTAAGACAATAAGAAAAGTCATAGTTAATTTATGATTGAAATGAAAAATGACAGAGTATATCTATTAGTTTATTTGCTTGTGACCTTGTCATTGGTCTTACTAGTTAGACTGTCAAAGAGATTGAGAAATACAAATTTAGTGATGTTGGTCATTTTTCCTTAAAATAACTCAGAAACTTTCACTTTGAGAGGTAGAGAAAATACCATTGAGTTACTACCTTTGATGGTATATTTTGCAGCGTTGCAACATTTATTAAACATAAAACTAGTTATGGACAATTGTGAATGTATTTTATCAAAATATTATCAATCTATAACTAAGTTTAATATTTTAGTTGATTTTTTATTTTTTCTTACCTTATTATTGTTTAAAGTCACCCCCACTGAAACAAATTTCTGGTTCCGTCACTGCATATATGGATTCAAACTCATACCATCAGACTGTAATTTTATAACAAAGTGATCTTCCAAAAGCAGGTAAATTTAAGAATTGTCAAAAAGAAAAAGGCCTTGCTTTCCCTAGGAAAGGATTAAAATTTATAACTTAAAACGCTGTTAAGGAACAAAAAAAAAAAAATTACTATATCCGGACCTAGGACATTTCTTACAAAATAACAACATACACAAAGATCAGGCGTATCATCTTAAGATCCAATAGCATAAGAGCAAACAGGGCAGCCCCAAACTAAGTATATGATACCTTGACCGATTTGAAAGCCGGATGAAGCAATCCAAGTTCATCTTTAACTTCAAGTGGACTGCTTGTCTCATTGCGAATTCTCTTCACCCTTCTGCTAGCTAGAGACTTGTGAGTGAAACCATACATTTGAAGTATCTGATTATCAGCAAAATTGAAAGCTCAGTCCATCTGTTTCAAGCATCTCTCAACTGGGCAATCACCAAACTTTCCACATGGCCAGAACCCAACAAAATGGGTCACTGGTGGCCACCGATGATCACCCGAACACAGATGGAAATTCTCAATCATTTCCTCATACCTATCAACCAAAATCCCCCAATAACCATGCAAGTAATAAGAACTCTCCAAAAAAACCTTATCACCCCACTTTTCCCTCTGGCTAACCAGTATATAAAACAGTATACAAAACAATAAAACATAGTAGACTGGTCATCTGCTTCAAACACTGGCCTATCCTTAAGCTCACTTGCGAGTATCTTCCCCGCCTCCATCCTAATTTTCCCTTTGGGCCCCATCGTTACCCAAAAATCAAGAACGTCCAATGCCCACTGCAATTCCTAAGCAAGAAACTCCCTGTATTCAATCCAATCCAATTCTTTTGATCATACAATGTTTCATTCCATCCATGCATCACCAAATTGTAATCTTTATATCTCTCCCATGGAAGCTCAAACTCCATATCCATAAACATCGCATCACTATCCATCCACCACGATAATTCCACCTCAAGACATCTTCGCAACGAGCAGAGCCATATTGTAAAAGACACGTCAATCCCATGTAACCTGCAATAATCAATATAGTTCTTTATCGATTTTAATAGATTGTGATCACCAACTGGGTTTTCACATGGTTTTCTTGACAACGCAGCAACTAACATTGATTACACTTCACTCCCTATGTAATGTCCCAACATTCATTACACTTCACTCACTATGTAATGTATCAATATCGACAGGTGAATATACCAACCATTAACAAATCTAGAATTAAAACCTGAGTAATTTGGAATTAAAACTGAGTAAACTTGTAATCAGATTTGGTTGTGATGCAGTAGAAAAGAGCTGATAAAAGTGGTTGTATTCTTCGGGTTAAAGTTTTCATACACGTGATTTAAGCAGTAAGCAGAGACATGTATTCATATATGTCGTATAATCTACATAGGCATACTATATTCGGGAAAAAAAAAAAAAACCCTAGGCATACTATGACAATTCAAATGTATTCAACCTAGCATTTTCCTTCCATGTTCGTAGTCTGTTTTGAGCCACATTATTTACTGTAACAAATCTGCATGAGAAAAATTATTGTGCATATAAATAAGCAACCCAATTCATTACAACAGATTGATTCCAACAAATAGATGAACTGGCAGGAAACCTAGTATATTTAACAAACCAAAGCCACAAAAACAATGGAATGACTGTCTTTCCTCTTGATTCCATCTCAATTTAAATACAAGCATGGCATGCCAAAATAACAAAAACAACGTATAAATTAGGCTATAATGAGTTTTGCTTCAAACTGTTATAATGAAGTCAATATTAACAGAATCTCCTTTGTGAATGGTTTCGGCACCATGCCACCATTGGGCTCCACTCTTCTTCGGTATAATCAAACGCAAAGGACTCAATCAATTTACATCAACCTGGTTTGAATGAAGTATGAACAATATATATATATTGCTGCTCTTACTGTAGGAAGAAAAATGTATTAATCTAAAACTATAAATCAGGCAGACCTAAAAAGAAAAGTAACCAAAAACCAATCTGAGCCACCAAACCTAGCTAGTCATCTGTTTTTGGTTCCATTTTTCCTGGAAAACAATCAAGGTTGATTGATTCTATGTCCGAGGCAAATGGCTCAATCAATTTACATCAACCTGGCTTGAATGAAGTATGAACAATATATATATTGATGCTCTTACTGTAGGAAGAAAAATGTATTAATCTAAAACTAGAAATCAGGCAGACCTAAAAAGAAAAGTAACCAAAAACCAATCTGAGCCACCGAACTTAGCTAGTCATCTGTTTTTGGTTCCATTTTTCCTGGAAAACAATCAAGGTTGATTGATTCTATGTCTGGTTCTAATCACTAGTAACCCGACCTATGTGCACCCCTACTTGAAACTCTAAAATATCCAATTTCAACCCAAAACTATGCAACTTAACTAACAGAGGAACCACCAATGGCAATAGCCTAGTGTTACCTCCTCACCTTTCAAAGTAGAAGGTTGAGGGTTCAAGTTCCCATAGGGATAAATTGGGTGCGTGAGTTTCTTGGCAAGGTATTAAAAAATTAAAAATAAAAAGTAAGAAAAAAAAAACTCTGACAGAAGAAGTATAACAAGCTGCAGCTCCTGCTGTCATCCTGGAATTCTCATCGAATCAACGCTCAGATGAACTATTTTAACTAGATAACACTAACACTAATCAATGCTCAAATGAACTACTTTATTTGACAATTTCTTGTTTTCATTTAAACAACATTGCAAAAAGACCAGGTTCACGAGTAACCATTACATAGTGATTGTCTTTTTAATGGAATTCTAAGGAAGGAGACCGCAAAATCAAAACCCTTCTAGGGCCATTTGCCTAAGTGGGACGAACTCTCCTCCCCTGAGGAGTAGTGGTTCAAGCCCCCCATGGGGTAGTTTGGTGGGTGTGAGTGTGTCCATGTGTTGCTTGCCTAGCAAAAGAAAGAAAAATAAAATATATATACATACATACATATATATATATATATATATATATATCAAAGCCTTCCAGTAGTACATTTGATATATCTAAGATTTTTAAGCTGGTACTGGAAACGCATATCAAGTCGCAACAGCAAAAATCTACAAAACTACCAGAAATAGGCCATAATTCATGTGAGAAACACAAATTTATTAATAAAAATCACATCTGCTGTTAATTTTGTTAAAAACCGAACATCTAATCCTGAGAGACAGCTAGATAAGAAAGATGAAGCACACAAGAGCTGACAAGCAAGATTGCATACAACAGTGAGGCAATAATCTGTTTGTTATACTCCTAATCCATATGCCATAAAGTGGGCTCCCAGCATAGCTATAACCCGAAATGAAGAAATAGAACCTAATGGCGAAACAAATGTACTAATGTTGGTCCTTACACTTGTCTGCTACAAATAGATGAATTGACACCACAAAATAGACGAAATAGGTAGCACAAAACAAACAAGGTAGTGTTTCTAACATTGAAATTTTAAGTTGTTACCCAAAAGAATAAATAACTGAGAGAGAGAGAAGGAGAGGGAGAGAGAGAGAGAGAGAGAGAAATTAAAGGAAAAAGGGCCGCAAAATAATTGCTTCTAACACTTACCATATACTTAACCATATACGGCTTAGGAGCTCGTATCATCCAATAGTACCACAAAAAGGTAAACAACCTCAGTTTCCAAATTACCCTACAAACTGGTGATCCTAATTTATAGTGAAAGAGATAATTTTATGATAATTAGGAGGGAATGGGGAACTTTGGGGTTTAAATTTTGATTCTCATTATCTATCCAGAAAAGGAAATGAATAATTGTGGTAATCTATCATGCAAAAGGTTACATACTTGACTTATTAACTAAACAAAGTGTACCTTCACAGCTAATAGTGTAATCATATATGTAGGAACGGACCCAAGTGACGACCACCCCCCACTGGATTTTTAAAAAATCTATTTTTACACTTACCAAAACAAAAAAATTAATAATAAAAACAAAACAAATTCCTATTTTAACCTATAAAAATTTTGAATAATTTCATAAATGCCCCCATAACTTTTATCTTTTGCCCCATTGATTTTTTTCTTCTCTCACTCACACCCATGAACATAAACAGTAGCCAAGAATTCCATTATCTCTAGTCTATATCTCGACAATCCCTTCCCCCCCCCCCCATCATCCACGGCTCTCTCTTTGAATAACTAAATAAATAATTTTCTTTCTATTCATGTATCTTTTCATGGAAGAGGTGTAAGTCCTAAGACAATACTTATCAAAAAAAAAAAAAAAAGGTCCTAAGAGAAAAAGAAGTCATAATTAATTTATGATTGAAACAAAAAATGACAGAGTACATCGATTAGTTTATTTGCTTGTGACCTTGCCATCGATCTTACTAGTTAGGACTGTCACAGAGATTGAGAAATACAAATTTAGTGGTATTGGTTTTTTTTTCCCTGAAAATAACTCAAAACCTTTAGCTTTCAGATGTAGAGAAAATACAACTAAGTTACTACGCTTGGTGGTATATTTGGCAGTGTTGCAACATTTGCAAAACATAAAACTAGTTATGGACAATTGCGAATGTATTTTATGAAAATATAATCAATCTATAATTATTAAGTTTAATATTACATTCGTTGATTTTATTTTTTTAACTTATTATTGTTTAAAGTTGCCCCCACTGAAACAAATTTCTGGTTCCAGTCACTGCATATATTGATTCAAACTCATACCATCAGACTGTAATTGTATAACAAAGTAATCTTCCAAAAAGGCAAATTTAAGAATTGTGAAAAAAGAAAAAGGGTTTGTTTTACCTGGGAAAGGATTCAAATTTATAACTTAAAATACTGTTAAAAAACAAAAGAACACTATCTACGGACCTAGCACATTACTTACATAATAACAACATACACAAAGATAAGGCGTATCATCATAAGATACAATAGCATATGAGCGAACAGGGCAGCCCCAACTAAGAAATTGATACCTTGACTGCTTTGAGTGTGGGATGAAGCAATCCAAGATTATCTTTAACTTCAAGTGGACTGCTTGTCTCATTTCGAATACGCTTCACCCTTCTGCTAGCTAGAGACTTGTGAGTGAAACCATACATTTGAAGTATCTGATTATCCGCAAAATTGAAAGCTCGGTCCATCTGTTTCAAGCATCTCTCAACTGGGTAATCACCAAACTTTCCACATGGCTTGCAACCGACGAAATGGGTCACTAGTGGCCACCGATGATCACCCAAACCCGGATGAAAATTCTCAATCATTTCCTCATACCTATCAACCAAAATCACCCAATAACCATGCAAGTAATAAGAACTCTCCAAATAAACCTTATCACCCCACTTTTCCCTCTGGGTAGCCAGTATATAAACCATAGCAGACTGGTCATCTGCTTCAAACACTGGCCTATCCTTAAGCTCACTTGCGAGTTTCTTCCCCGCCTCCATCCTAATTTTCCCTTTCGGCCCCATTGGCGCCCAAGCATCAAGAATGTCCAATGCCCATTGACAATTTCTAAGCAAGAAACTCCCTGTATTCAACCCAATCCAATTCTTCTGATCATACACCATTTCATTCCATCCATGCATCACCAAATTGTGATCCTTATATCTTTCCCATGGAAGCTCAAACCCCATATCCGTAAACATTGCGTCGCTATCCATCCACCACAAGAATTCCACCTCAGGATGTGACAATAGCAGCTTCCGAATCAATGGCAGCTTCGCCCAAAACCCCGACATCTCCGCATCGAGCAGAGCCATATTGTAGAAGACCTCAATCCCATGTAACCTGCAATAATCAATCTTGTTCTTTATCGATTTCAACAGGTAGTGATCACCAACAGGATTTTCACAAGGTTTTGGTGATGAACCAGTAACCAGAAGAACCCTAGGGTTATTGGGTCCGATGAAATTGGGGGAATTAGGGTTTTTCCTAAGCCATTTTGCTCTCTGCTCGTCCCAATTTGAAATCTCCTGCCCGAGACTGTACGGCTTGTTCGAATAACGCTTGTCGTCCTCTTCTTCTTCGTCGACTAACAATTTGTTTATATCAAATTCGTTGTAATTGTTGCTTTCGGTGGATGTTGAAGTCGTTGTTTGGACCTCTTCGAGGACTCGGTGAGGCTCGGCACGCTTGCGAGAGTAGAAACGGCTTCGTATCTCGTTGAAGTCCTGCTCCGGCGTTCCGAACTTGCCGGCGCCGATGGTGCCACGTATGACAACGAGAGTCAAGACCAGACAAAGGAGGGTTACCTTACAATGCCGGAAAAATCTCTGGATTTTTCGACCCTTTCGAGCTCCCAAACATCTCTCAATCATTTCTATATATATATATACTTACGTGAGTATGTATATATGAGCTGGTTTTCTTCTGTAAGATATGGATTGAATGATGAATTCAGAGGGTCGTCTTCATCTTCATGTGATGATTGAAAGCTCAACCGAGTTAGAGTTTGAAATCATGAAATTGTGGGAGGGTGGATGTCGGAAATTTCTGGAACGAGCCCTAGGGAGTGAAAACGCGTTATTTGGCGCCAGCCAAACACCAGCTTAATGGAGTGGGAGAGATGATTCGGACATGATTTAGCGAAATTAGCGTACGCTGTTTGAAGATCATACTATTAGATCTAGTGGAATCGGGCCTTGAGTTCTTGACTAGTCAACTTGTCAAGACGATCCAGCCCAAACATATTGGGCCTGGTTGTTCACAGATTGCGAGTTGTTATTGGCTGGTTTCACAGTTCAGATCATATTGTCCACAAAGACCTTTTTTTTTCGTTTTTTTTTTTTCTTTTTTTTTTTTTTTTTTAACATCTTCTTTTCAAAGTTTCACACGCTATGAATTGTTGTTACTCGAAATTTGAGTTATCCTAACATCTCAGTATATTGATGAGCCGTCAGAATTAGAAAAGTATAGAAATATGTGAAAGTAGTAAACATCCAGATCTCTCTGCCTACTATCATCAGTGAAAGATTCCTCAAATTTTCTGGATCAACATGTGTTTCGACACTCTCCCTTAACATTAAGTTCATGGTAATCCGGTGATGAAAAACTATTCCCCTAGCTCATTGTTTTTTTTTTTTTCGGTAAATGCCAATACTAAACATTCATAATCTCTTTTTTAGTAATCAACGTTCAAAATTTTTCCTTTCGACGAGTGAAAAAAGATAAAATCATAATTATTTTATTGTCCTCCTCATCATCTATTTCTTTCAATTACCCTATACATTTTTATTTTAATCCAAACGTTTAGAAAAATTCAAAATTTGTATCTTTTATTTTTTCTATTTATTAAAACGTCATGCTAAAGTAATAAGAAACAAATGTTCCATTGATCGATAGTCAATGTAGCGGAGAGGGCGCACCCTTAATAACATTAGTCTTTTTAAATTGAGGCGGATTTCACTTTTAAGCTCTTCGAATATTCTCTTTGCGGGTACGTTTAGGCTTTTGATAGGGCTAGGGACATTTTTAAATAAGTTAAAAACAATGGCAATGTTTAATGGAACTTGGCTTTAAGACCATTCTCAATGCAAAAAGTTGATGTGTTACGGTGTCAAAATGGTATATTTTAGTAATGTTGTTCTAATGGTGTATTGTATCCAACATGCTATTTTTTTACATAATCACCATTCTTTTTTAACTATCTTTCCCAACTACATTTTTCAACTACCATTCTCAATTACCATTTTTTTTTTTCAACTAGCATTCTCAACTATTATTTCTCCATCTATAAAAGCTATCGTGAAACTTTTTTTTCAATAGGATTTCCAATGCAAACTTTTTTTTCAATAGTATTCACAACAACCATTCTTTTTCAACTATCATTCCCAGCTACTATTCTTCTTCAACTACCATTCTCAGCTACCATTCTCAATTATTATTTCAACTGCCATTCCCAGCTACCATTCCCAACTACCATTCTTTTTCAACTACTATTCCCAGCTACCATTCTCAACTATCATTTCTCCACCCATAAATATTATCATTCTTTACCTACAAACTATCTTCCTTCTTTATAACTTTACTGCAATGAACAATTTGAGAAGAGCGATTTTGAGAGGAGATTTCAATGATTCTTTATCTGATGAAGATCAAAGCCCAGAGGTTATGGAACTTATAGCATCAGAATTTCATAGAAGGAAAATGCAACGAGATAACCAACCAATTATGCATGTTGGTTCTGTAAGTGGTCAGCGATACATCCATCGTGATAGATTCTCCGGCAACAAGCGACTAATTAAAGATTACTTCAGTGAAAATCCTGTCTACCCAGCTAACATCCTTCGAAGACGCTTTCAAATGAATCGTCCATTGTTCCTTCGTATATTAAATGCAATTAAACAATATGATGACTACTTTGTCCAAAAGATTGACGTCGCTGGTTTTACCAGATTATCCAATTTGCAGAAGATGACTGTTGCAATTCGGATGCTTGTATACAGTATGCCCGCTGATGCTGTCGACGAGTATGTGAGAATTGGTGAAAGCACAACAATTGAGTCTTTTAAAGAGATTCTATATAAATATTATTAGCATTTATGGTGAAGAATATCTGAGATTGCCGACTGAGGTGGACATTTCCAGACTGCTACGGGAGGGGGAGAAACGTGGATTTCCTATAATGTTAGGGAGTTTGGATTATATGCATTGAAAATGGAAGAATTGTCCTACTGTGTGACATGGTCAATTCATTGGGCATGTACATAAACCAACAATTATACTTGAGGCAGTGGCCTTATATGATTTGTGGATATGGCATGCTTTTTTTTGGTATGCTTGGATCCCATAATGATATCAACGTTCTTGATCGATCTCATCTCTTTGCTGAGCTCATTGAAGAGCATGTCCCTCCTGCCAACTATACCATCAATGGCAATCAATACACTATGGGATATTATTTTACTGATGGTATCTATCCTAAGTGGGCAACCCTTGTCCAAACGATTTCTCAACCTCAAGGATTGAAGAGGCAACTATCTGCAACAATGCAAGAGTCATATCGGAAGGATGTGGAAAGGGCATTTGGTGCACTGCAAGCACGTTTTGCTATTGTGCAGGGGCCGACAAGATTTTGGGGCCATGAAAATCTTGGCTATATCATGAAGGCATGCATAATTTTGCACAACACGATCATTGAAGATGAGCATGATGACTCTCTAGATGACGAGTATGATGCACCCGAAAGGTGCATCCAGTTGAAGTGTCGCAGGAGACGACACCCTTGTTTTCTGCATCGTTTGACTCTTGCAGTGCACCAAATGCCCTTTCCACATCCTTTCAATATGACTCTTGCATTGTTGCAAATAGTTGCCTTTTCAATCCTTGAGGTTGAGAAATCATTTGGACAAGGGTCGCCTACTTAGGATAGATATCGTCAGCAATATAATATCCCATAGTGTATTGATTGTCATTGATGGTATAATTTATAGGAGGGACACGTCCTTCAACGAGCTCAGTAAAGAGATGAGATCGATAAAAAACGTTAATATCATTATGGGATCCAGGGATACCAAAAAAAGCATGCCATATCCACAAATCAGACGAGGCCACTGCCTCAAGTATAATTGTTGGTTTATGTACATGCCCAGTGAATTGAACATGCCATGCAATAGGACAATTCTTCCATTTCCAATGCATATAATCCAAACTCCCTAACATTCCGGGAAATCCACGTTCTCCCCCTCGCATAGCAGTCTAGAAATGTCCGCCTCAGTCAACGATCTCAGATATTCTTCACCATAAATGCTAATGATTCCTACACAGAATCTCTTCAAAGACTCAATTGTTGTGCTTTCACCAATTCTCACATACTCGTCAACAGCATCAGCGGGCATACCGTATACAAACATCCAAATTGCCGCAGTCATCTTCTGCAAACCGGATAATCCAGTAAAACCGACGGCTTCAATCTTTTAGACAAAGTAGTCATCATATTATTCAATCGCATTTAATATACGAAGGAACAATAGACGATTCATTCGAAAGCGCCTTCGAAGGATGTTAGCTGGGTAGACAAGATTTTCACCGAAGTAATCTTTAATTAGTCGCTCACTGCCGGAGATTATATCACGATGGATGTATTGTCGACCACTTACGGAACCAACATGCATAGTTGGTTGGTTATCTCTTTGCATTTTCCTTCTATGAAACTCTGATGCTATAAGTTCCATAACCTCTGGGGCTTTGATCTTCATCAAACGAAGAATCATTGAAATCTCCTCTCAAAATCGCTCTTCTCAAATTGCTCATTGCAGTACTAAAGTTATATTGAAGGAAGATAGTTTGTAGGTAGAGGATGATGGTATTTATAGATGGAGAAATGATAGTTGAGAATGGTAGCTGGGAATGATAGTTAAAAAAGAATGGTAGTTGGGAATGGTAGTTGAAATAATAGTTGAGAATGGTAGCCGGGAATGTTAGTTAAAAAAGAATGTTAGTTGGAAATAGTAATTGAAAAAGAATGGTTGTTGTGAATGCTATTGAAAAAAAAAAAGTTTGCATTGGAAATGCTATTGAAAAAAAAGTTTCACGATAATTTTTATAGATGGAGAAATAAAAGTTGAGAATGGTAGTTGGGAATGGTAATTGAAAATGAATGATAATTGAGAATAATAGTTAGGAATGGTAGTTGAAAAAAATAGTAGTTGAAAATGGTAGTTGAAAATGAATGGTAATTGAAAAATAATAGTGGTTGTATCAAAAACATAACATTTTGGATGAAATGCACTATTAGAGTAAAATTGTTAAAATATAACATTTTAACACTGTAGCACCTCTCAAAATATAACTTTGACATGCAAAAGTAGCATTTTTCATTGGAGATAGTCTGAGAATCTCAAAATTTGGGAACCCATTTGAGAGTCCATTTTTAACCCACCTCTTCTATTTTGAGATTGAAAGCATTTGAGAGCCCATTGGAGTTGCTCTTAATGGAGGCAATTTTATGGAAGCGGGTTTTTAAACACTTATGATCCAAATTTAATTGTAGAGAGATGAGAAGTGTTTGAAACCGATTCCAAAGTTCAAGTTTGAATCAATAGTCTTCTCTCAATGAAACGAAAAGAGAAACAACTGAGCCTATCAAAACGTTTTAAAATCCTTAATTTCTTTTTTAATTTCCATCATAACTCTCTATTATAAATATAGGTGTATAAAGGATATATAAATTATTCGTATAAATTTCCAAAAGAAAGTAACAAAATGTGCACCAATGTGAACTATATGAATGAGCTGCTAGGTGAGGTTGCGATTGGAATCGAAGGCAATGGAGAAAAGGGAAAGGCGAAAATGAACATGAGAGATGATGATGATGGCCCAATGGAAGTTGGGTTAGAGGATGAGAGGGTGGATTCCGGATATTTAAGGATAGTTTGGTCTTCAAAAGTTTAACTTCCAAAATGTAAATTTGCAATACAGTAATCCGCACTTCGAATTTGAAATTGAAAAAAAAAATAGTTCTAAGTTTGAACTAAATTTTCTTCTATTCCCAATGACTTAAACAATTCGAGTTAGTTTCGCCCCAGTTATTCGCGGTTCCAGTACCATTTTCCTATCCAAAATAAACACTCACGATCCATTTTCCTTTGAAGGATCCAATAATCCAAATAAAACCCATCCCAGTCCAGTTAGATCTGAAGTTGATTACAACAGTTTCCTGGAGAATCAGGCCTTAGAGCAAATTATACATTATACAAGTCCCAATAAACATCCATTGCCCTAAAATCATAGTCACCATACAATAATATTAAAGCCAAAAATATTAGATTGCACCTGCAAAGTCTCAATAAATATTCCTTGGTGAAACTTAATCATGCTCAGTTGCCCACAATCAAGGGATTTTTATCCTTAAAAATGTGGTATCTTTTGCAGAGTTTCTCCAAAGTTGCAACTGAATGCTGCATCTTGTTAAGTTTTGTATCCGTGAACATCCTCTGCAAAACAAGAAGCTTGTGAGTAGAACACATAAATATCATTTCTAAGATAAAATCTAATCTTCCCACCTGATAGTCATCTCCATATCTCTCAACAAGTCGCCCAATGTGAACACGTTGTATAGTTGTCAGTGGCTGTGCAGGAGCAGTTTTCCCATCTTTTCGCTTCTTCCCAAGCGCTGATTTTAGATCTATATAGGCCAAACATATCATGTTATCACGTATAGCACGGAAGGACAATAAGATTGTGTAATCAGTTCCATCCGACAATACACACTCATCAGGGGAAAAAAATAATAATAATAATTCCTTCCAACAATACAGCCAGTTCCAGACCGAATATATTTCAATAGCTATCAAGTGCTATTACTGTCTTGTGCTAAATTTATAAAAAAATCTCTTTCTTCTATTTCTTTTTAAAGTCGATTTTTTTAAAAATTTCAAGAGGCGTGTGTAGCTTCATGTTCATCCTTAAATAACAGGTAAAACATGCCACTAGAACAATATAAATAAAAGTGGAATCCCTTAGATATCAAATTGGAGGAAAAGCAAAAGGGGCGGCTCCTCACACTTATCTAATAGGTAACCATTTGGCTCTCAACTATGCGAAATTCAATCGGCTTTCCGGGGCGGCAGGGGAAATATTGAATAAAAAGATAAAAGCAAACAAATCCTGGAGATAAGTTTTTTTATGATATGAGGTCTTTGGTTCTATGATTAGAACTCCGAGCAAATGATTACTACATCCCAGTCACATTGGAGTGCAGGACTTGTTCAAGTTTACTATCTAATCTCAAACTGGGACATTTCATATTATGATGAGGAGGGACATTAACAAACTACTTAAATGTCCATCAGCCTATAGAGGTTAATGGAACAGTTAATCACCTGACTAGGTCAGTTCTGCTTCTTAATACTCTCAGATTGCCTGCTCTTTGTCATATCTTTTGCTAATAATCTTCTAATCATTTATTTTTGATAAGTCATTCAATTGACTGTTTTGATAAATAATTAAAGTTGTTGTATGCCAAATGTAAAAGCTGCTAGTATGCATTATTCAGCTTCCTTTTTAGCTACTGTTTGTGAACAACTCTGACTTCTTTCAAGTGTGCAAAACCAACTTATGCTAATGATACATTCATAAAACACTTTGGTGTTGCTTGATTAATCCCGTGTACTACTATGTTAGTTTATGAAATTTCCATGAATTATTGGTGAAGAAGTGCCACTATTACCCAATAATGCATGCAATAGTAGAAGAATAATGGTCATGAGTTTAATTAATTGCTGCAGCATTCCAAGTTGTGTGCATACTTGTTTTGGTTTCCTATCGATTTGACAAGGTATGAATGTTATAACTTGTCAATTCCTCTTATGTTGATTTCTATTGGATTCTCTTTCCAGCAAAAAGTATGAACAATCTCGATTTCTAGTTGGTAATTTTACTTTGCATACATGAAAACCTAATGTTTATTGACGGTTATAATCTGTATAAACTAGGAGGAAAAAAGGAAAAACAAAAATAGTAAACAGTTACACTATATAGAAATTTTCGTACAAATTACGCATAGTCTAATAACCAAAATCTTCTCTTCTAATAAACAACACATCAAGGTAGAGTAGACCCTTCTATAACATGGACTCAAGTACATAAGTCGGGTGCAGGTTAGTATTCCCACGCTGGATCTGTAAAATACCCAAACAAAACACATGGAAACCACTAAATATTCAGATTTTTTAATTTTATTTTCTATAGTACAATAATGTCTTCATGTAACATAGTGTTCAACATACGAATTTCAATCTTTTCGAAGCAATAATATAAAAATAAAAATAAAAAATTATTGCCTTACTGAATATGTTGTTTAGGTGCACATTCAATCAAAATTGTCGGACCACATATCTTTTACCTGTCTAAGCATGCGTCTAAAACGGATACTTCACCTACTTTTTAAGAGTCCATGTAAGTTATGTAACAGGTAGACTTTATGTAAGAATGCCGAACAAGTTTAGAGATCGTAAATGAGATGAACTAAGACCCATGATAAAGTAAACATTAACAAAAGAACTTTTTGGAGTAATTACCCATAAAATTTAAAGAACTAAAAGAAAATGTGCCTATTGTATGTTTGTCACAGGATGCAACCAATATTTTTCAAATCAAACTAAACAACATTTAAAAAATGCTGCTATTAAACTGGGATCATATACCTGAGTAACATTGGGGGATAATTTTTTTTTTTTTTTTTTTTTTTTCTGATAAATAACATTGTGGGATAAAATAAATAACGAAACTAATAGGCATTTGGGAATAACATTTTTTTTTTTTTGATAAGTTGCTTTTGGGAATAACTACAGAATGGAAGACTACAAATTCAAATAGCCTGGACATGGATGGAAGACTACAAATTCTAATAGGCTGGCCACGAATTGAAGACTACAAATTTAAATAGGCTGGACATGAACAAATGAGATTGACGACAAGTAAAGATGAGCAGAAGCCACATAAATTTTGAAAACCTGAAATAAAAAAGAACACAAGATCCCCATGCCCGGGGAGGAATCGTTAAATGTTTCCCTCTTCTAATTTCTCAGCTACCAAACAGAAATACAGGATCGAATTATTTGGGTAAAATTCATTAATTTGATCACTACAATTTATATATATATAAAAAAATGAAGTTGTCAAATACTGATAAGAAAATTTTAAAAGGGAAGTCCAATAATCCTACAATTATTTCTGAGCTACGAGCCTATGACAGAAAAACAGCACCTAATAATATATTGGGCAAAAGTCATAAATTTTATTCACTACAATAAAATATAAAAAATATAAAATAAAATCAAAACAAAAACTCTCAAATAGCAGTAATAAAATTGAAAAAAAAAAAAAAAAATTAAATGACCCATATAATTTTCAACTAATTCGAACTAATTTCAACAATAATCAACCAATAAATATACAACACAACAAATCAAAAACAAAAATTCAAGACAGGAGAGAACAAAGCGAGAGAGATGGAGGAGAAAACAGACCATCTTCTTCGAGGTCGCTGCCGGAGTCGATGGGGTCGAACTCGGAGACAATGGCTTCGCGCAGAGGAGGGACTTGAAGAGAGTCGGTCTCGATGATGTGGGAGGTGCGAGAACGGACGCCGAGCAAGTTAGGGTTAGAAACGACGCCGAAGGACTTGTAGTTGTGAATGACAGTGCCTTTGTCGTCCCACTTGAGATCGGATGAGTCGACCAGGGAACGGAACTTTGGGGGGAGAGAGAAAGCAGGTTTGAACACGCCAGGGTGCTTCTTTGGTAACCCTACTCGGACCTTTGTTCTCGATTTCTTGTACTTCCTTCTTGATCTCCCCATATCTCTCTACAGCCAAAACGCGAGGAGGAGTTTGAGGCAGGGGGTTAGGGTTTAAGGACTAGTAGCGAGAGTGCTACCTTCTTCATTTTCCTTTCCCTTTTCATTTTAGGGCAAAATACACAAAAGACCCTCAGATTTTTATATTGTGCATGTAAATAAAAGATGCCACGACATAACAAAAATATCTAAATTAACTATTTGTGATTAGTGAATTAATATGAATTTATATTTTTGTCCTTAGAGTTAAATTATTTAATTAATAAAAAAATCTAAAAAAATCAATGGAGAGAGAAAATGGAGTCGCCGCTGTACACTTTGACTGGCATCACCATTACAGGAGGGAGCTTTGGATTTGGAGATTAAGGAATTGAGGATTTTCTTTTCGCTTTATCCTTTGTTCTACGATGTCCTTGGAAAGTGCGGAAACAAACAGGGAGCTATGGATCAGCCTTTGAAATTCATGAGAAAGTTTTCAGTGGGAACACGGAGAAAGTGCAGAGATGGAAGACTGCTCTGGTGGAAGCAACAAATATAAGTGGATATAGTGTTCCGGATACATCAAACGGGTAATTATCACAAATTTAGCGCATTCTTAGTTCACTTCTCTTGTAATTATATTGTATTTTGGATAATTGAAAAAAAAAGAAAAAACAAATTTCAATGTTTTTTCTTTTTTATATATTCAAGTGGGTATTTCGATTACCAGGAGCAAAAGGATGGATTTTGTATATAAACATGTATATGCTCATTAGTATATCATTTTGAGTTATTGATTTCGGTTTCTCATGGATAAGTGGGTTCCTCACAAATCAAATTGTAGTCCATTGAAATTTGATCTATCTGAATCCTAAAATCTTTCTTTCTCTCTCTTACTACCCATCACCAATTCTTTGTATGCTTCTCTCTCTATCCAGCAAAACCATCTAACAGCACCACCCCCACTATCTCTAAACCTACGATCGGCAGCAGAAATCGATGGAGAAAGAAAATGGAGGCACCGTCGCCTCCACCACCACCACCGATTCCTTCACCGTCAAAACCCTCTTCTTCCACCGATCCCCTTCTCTCAAAGGGGCAAAATCGTAACTTTAACAATACATAAAAATTTAGATTTTTTCATTAAACAAATAGTTTCACTATAAGGATAAAAATGTAAATTTATATCAATTCACTAACCATAAACAGTTAATTTGGGGGCCTTTTGTATATTGTGGCATATTCTATGTACATGTACAAGATAAAAACCTGAGGGGTCCTTTGTGTAATTTGCCCTTCATTTTATTAGTGGTAAAAGGCAAAAGTGCAAATAACCCCCTATATTATCACAAAAGTGAAAAATAACTCCCTGAAATAGTATATATAAAAAAAAAAAAAATCATCTCGATCACCTAGCCATATTTTTTGGCGTCGGTTGATTCACATGCCTGTGTATTTTCAAGTAATGCCAAAATTACTCTTTCAAACGACTATTATACTCCCGACAAAAGTGCAAAAAAACCCTGAACTATCAAGAAAGTAAAAAATAATCTCCTGAACTATCTCGGGTTGCAAATCAAACCATGAACTATACAATTTATTTTGTTATTATGTTAAATTATTATTTTTATTACTACTACCAGCACTACTACTATTATTGTTAGATATTATTATTATTATTATTTGAACTATTTTTTTGATAATTTATGAGCTTCCATAAATTGTTTGTAGGTATAAAGATCCATCAAACAACTAATCAAGCAATGTATTTTTGTTATTATTTTTTATTTTTTTCTTTTTCTTTTTTTTTTTTGGATAATTTTTGACCTTGCAAAAATTGTTTATAGGTATATGGATCTATCAAGCAACTAATCAAGCAATTTATTTTTATTATTAAACAACGTTAATTTGATTCAAAACTAGGATTTCCTGTTTGGTACGGACCAGACTTCGCTCAATGAGACCTAAAAATGGAAGATTTTGCTTTCTTTCATGGAATTCCTTAACTAGACTAAGTCCATAGCTCTAAGATAAGTAAGCTGGAGCTAATACAGATGAGCTAAAGAGTACAGGCTAAGAAAAAATTATCTCAAATTTTTTCTTGTTTTATGAGATTTAATACTCCTTTTTCCAATCCCTGATCCTAAACATTTTGAATCATACAAGAAAACAAAATTTTATTATTGGTAATGCATAGCTCTTTGTTAGAATGAAGAACACCTTGGTTTCAAATTTTACGTACACATATTTCATAAACAATTTTTTTGTTTTATGATTTAATACTCCTTTTTTCCCATCCCTGATCCTAAACATTTTGAATTATACACGTAAACAAAATTTTATTTTGGGTAATATATAACAATTTGTTCTAATGGCTAACATTATCTACTATTTTTCCATAAGAATGATTATTGTGTTTGGGAATATTCATCCTTGTTCACTTCTCCTTAACCTAATCTTCATTCATCCTTGTTCACTTCTCCTTCACAATTTTTTTTTTTTTCATGCTATGGGATGTTTAACTAATGTAAAACGAAAACATCAAGCTACTTCCTCGAATCCTACAAACGTAGAAGATACTCCACATAAGCCGGCCAATTGCTACTTCTTATCCAGGTACAAATTTTATAGAATATTAATTTGTTAAAATATTTTATGCCTATATTTTGTTGTTCTTAATATATTTGATTTTATGTCATGTTATTAGGAAAAAAAATAAAAAAAAAATGATACAAGTGTGGTGGGGCAAAACAAGGAGTATTCAAAAGAATGGAATTCGATGTCAAAAATTGATAAAAAGCCATTTAGAGATCAATAAAAAAAATAATATGGTGTCTTACACTAAGAAAAAGAAAAAGCAAGAAAAGCATAAGGTAAGAAATTCTACATTCTAGAGGTAGTTAATAGTAATATTCAAGGGGTTCTAGTTGGTTACCATTCTTTGAAGACTGTTATGTATTTTTATAATATGAAGCCTTTTAACACTTTGAAAAATAGAATATCTTCGCCTTTTACAATTCTTTGAAGACTCTTTTGTAGTGATCATTAAGATTATAAATTTATTAGGTAGCACATTTATCAAGATACAATTTTTTTACTTATTATTTTGTAATTTGTTATAGAACACAAGAGTGAGCACAATGTCGATGAAGATTTTTTTAAAAATTATATCTAGCTTTAAAGAATACCAGATTTATGTTGTTTGGGATATAGGTTTTGGGAATCTTCTTAAGTTGAAATGTACTCACTTGAACCAATATCTTTGTCAGTACCTAATAGAAAATTTTGACCAGTGTAGATGCAGTTTGAAATAAACTCATTCCGATAACAGCAACAGATGTCGAGCACATTCTTAGGATATCCAATGGTCACTTAGTAATGGTGAACTTAGAAGGAGACAAGGGTATAACCAACTGGAGTTGGGTGAAAGAATGTGGTTTCATGAAGAAAAAAAAAAAAAAAAAAAAATGAAGAAGAAGAAGTTTGAAGGTTGCCAAAATTGGTGAGATGCTTCGAAATTGGGGTGATTGACTTGTTGATGACGATTTCAATCGACTTTTTGTACAATATATATGTAGATGCATATTGTTTCCAAACACTGCTCATAAGGTGTTGAATAACTTTTTTGGAATGGTTGATGATCTGAAGAAGATCAACCAATACAATTGGGCAAAGTGTGTGCTCAATGATTTGGTAAAATGGGTTAATAAATTGAAGACATATAAACAAAAGGGTTGCAATGGTAGTTTACTTTTTTAAAAGGTATGCATTGTTGGGATTATATGCCCTATAAGCCAATTATTTATTATTTATTCGATATTTTATTAATAAATGTGATATTCATGCATTAGGCTTTACATATATTTGCATGAGATGCATTATAGTCCTCAAGTTGCATTATAGGTGACTTAAGTGTGTAAATGAGATTTACACGCAGGAGATTTGGGCTCACCGGTTTCTTGCACCTTGGCATTGTTCGCAGTCAGTGATAAAGTTGGGCATTTTTATCTGTAAGATTGTAACACACTTGACCTCTATAAGATATAATGGTTTATCTTAACCATTTGGGTAGTTGACTCTAAGGCAGTGTGTTAGTGTACATGGAATACACTAAACTAGATCACCATAAGATCACACCATACAATGTATTATCATTATTTTGGTGTGTTTCTTATCTACTAAATTCATAGGTTCTAAATCATGAAAGATTTAGTGAACTCAAGTTTCAGTATTAGTCACTTTAACTTACCAACATATGAGATCTTTTAAGGTTAACACCACAGTATCTTGGGTGGTTAATGTTGGAGCTCTGAGAACACAAATGCTCAACTTGGAATCCATACTCTTTATAAGAGTTAAAATATCCCCTTGATGCAATTTAATAAGTTTGATCACTAAAACTTGGCCAGGGCATTTTAGTAAAATGCTTGCTAAATTATTTTTATACTATTTATTTAGAAAAATATTTATTTTGAAAAATTATTTTATAAAAGAATTTTATTCAGTGATCATAAGGATTAAGTTGGTTACTCAAAGAATATAAAATTTAAGTAAGCCTTAGGTGGGGTGATATATATTTTTCTAGGGCTACTTATGGATATTTGGGAGTGGAGGGGCTTATATGTAATTATTTAGTAAACGGGGCCTTGTCGTAATTTTTAAATCCTATAGTGCAATTACAATACTATTGTGGTGCTTATTATAATTAATTGGATATGATATAGATATGTATCTCTATCCAATTGGAGCTATGATAAGGAAGCCCTCTTGGATCCTCATCTCTAGCCCCGGACATTTTAACTGTCTCTCAGGTCATATATTCTGTGACACGGCTATAGAAGATATTTTGTACACAATTCAGGATACATAAAATAATAGAAAAGGTTACAGTTCTACAAACTTATCATCGGGGTCATAGAGGTGAAGACTTATTGGTATCCAAGGCCAAAGAAGAAAGTGTTCGTCGGAATTCAAAACTAGAAAAGAGTATTTTCGTATTCAACGATTATTCAATCATCTAAAGGTATGAGATTATTTTGTACTTCTTGATTTGATAAAAAAAATCACGTGGTTACGATCTAGAAATTTTATTAAATCGCTTCCGTTTTTGCCTTCATGCATGATCCAAGCGTAATA